ACTCTAGTTACTTATTTCATGTGTACTGGTTGTATCTTTGTATAAAATTTGCAAAAGCTTTGATAGTAGATGTACTGGTTGATTCGTATTAGTAAACAAAATGCATCATCATGTAAGAGGAAAAGATGATGCTTTGTCCTGCCAGTGGTGCTCGATTTTTAGGTTGTTATTGTTGTATAATTATTGTGTTATTAGATGCAAGTCTTTAAGTTGTGAGGCTGGTGCCTCATTTATAAGCTAGCCTACAGAATTTCATAGAAGAAGAAAACATAATGCGATCTTTTTTTCCTCTCTTTTTGTAATAATCGGGTATATTGTAACATCCTGAAGAGCGTAAATATGACAGAAACCAAGCTTTGCAAGATTTTGGAGGGACATGGGATACTTATTTTACCAGAAGGCCCACTCAGGTGCATTTCCTATGATAAACTTCCATCATACAGCCTGAATCTCTAACTAAGTTTTTCATGGATGCATGCCTTGTCATCTTCTGAATTGAAGCCTATCCAATAGGTTACTTGAGAGATGATATATAACATGTCACAACAACTTCTGCCAAAACAAACAATTCTGATAACTGTCCGTGCAACCTTTTTATGGGTTTAATTGCTAGTAGCTCCAGCTGAAGCAGATTTGCTGTCAGCTAACGGGAAAAGTGTTACTATATTACTGTCTTAGTTTGGCCTTTTTTTTCCTGTCACAAATATAAGCCTCATTTCTTGAGAACTAATTTATGCTATAGACATATGTTTGCTAAATCCAGTCAAATGCTTTCATGGACAATTCCCTCTCCCTTGATATTGGATATTTTGATTATACAATTTGCTGTCGTATGCAAGATCATGATATTCATCTTTTGATTTGGCAAAACCTATAAAGCATATCTAAGAGGTAGACATTGAAATTGTTATAATTGGCGATACTAATATTGATATCTTTGTTTTAGATTGAAGAATTATTGTTGAGGTGTCAACCTGGTTTTTGACTTGTTAGCATTTGCATTATTGGTATTGAACTTGATATAGAATGCTCTGCCCGTAGGATTCTAATGCAAAGTGCATCTTACATACATAGCATATATCAAGTGGTGACTAAGTCAAGCTTATTCCATCAATGCAGTTTCAAGTTTGTAGTGGCCATCATCTTCAATTCCATTTAGCGAGCATTGATCGTTGATTCCCTTTCCACTTGGAGCAAATTGGAGTTGTTGGTAACCAAAATTATACATTAAGTTTCTGCTACTCTTAGGTTACCAATACATTAAAGTTCGTGGCAGTTATTTTCAATTGGATAGAACTTCTATTGCTAATTAGTTGGGTTGCTAATATTTTGTCCAAGTTCTCTATCTCAAATTGATATTGGCTACATTATTGGACTAATTTTGAATTCCATAGACTGTTGTTCTTTTGTGCCTACCATCTGTTCAATAGTTTGTGTCTAACAATCTGGAATTGAACTTTTGCTGTCTTTCCTTTTGATATCATTCTATTTTGATACTTTTGGATTAGTTCTTATTACTCAAAAGTCTAGAACACCTGGATATGTGAACATTCTATTTTGATATGTCTAGAATACTTGGATTAGTTCTTACATTCTGTTTTGCTACTTGGATTAGTTTTCTTATCTAAGTAAATGTTTGATGTAAAAATCAGTAATATTTTAGGTATAATTATCTTGTAGATGCTAATGAACCTTCCTTTTTTTTTATATATAATTAGAATCTATGTGAACATGGATAAAAGATGGATGAGTATGTCATGATCAAGTGATGAGTATAAAGCTGGTTTAGAAGATTTTCTTGATTTTGCATTTACGAATGGAAGTATAGGGGAGATGATTTTATGCCCATGCATTAGGTGTGGGAATGGGGTATTTGTCACCAGAGAGCAGGCCAAATCACACTTGATATGGAAATGGTTTATTAAGGGATATACTCAATGGTTAGCTCATGGAGAGCTATCTTCGAATTTGCACCATACATCTTCACATGGCTTATCAAATGAAGTTCCACCACTCAATCCTATAGATGATATGCAGGGGTTGTTACAAGATGCATTAGGAGTTCTAAACCAGGACCTAGATATGAGAGAAAGATTAGAAACAGAACAGCTGAATAATGAAGCAGAAAAATTCACCAATTTAATAAATGATTCGAAGCAGCCCCTTCATCCAGATTGCCCGCAATTCTCTAAACTATCTTTTCTGGTCCGTTTGTTACCTATTAAATGTCTCAGCAAAATGCCCGATTCTGTATTTAATATACTTCTTGATTTGTTGAGGCAAGCACTCCCAGAAGGTGTAAATCTACCCAATTCTTATTATAAAGCAAAAATAATAATAATGAAAGAACTAGGACTTGGATATGAAAAATATGATGCCTGTCCTAATGATTGCACATTGTATTGGGGAAAAGATGAATCAAAGATAAAATGTGACACTTGTAAACATCTACGGTGGGTGCCAACAAAGGATGATTCTACTGGTGAAAAAAGAAAAGTTCCTCACAAGGTTTTTGCTTGGTTATGGAACAAAGCGCTGCGATGTCAAAAATGGAGCGAAGAATTCAGCAACTAGAATCAATTCAACAAGGAAGATCACAAGGACAAAATTCACCAACTCAGCAAAGATCTACTTCACAGTCTTCAAATGCGATTCTTCGGCCGATAAAGATAATAAATAGTTCAATTATGACTTTCTTTAGATGCTGCGTTCACAAATGCTTTTCGTGAACATGTTTGCAATTGCTATATGTTACTTAATTGTTGAAATTCTTGTTTTGGATATCATTATTGATTGTAATGAACTGCACTTGGTTTTGGTACTTGTTATGGCTATCATTTTGGGTTGGTTCTTGTGGTACTATGTATTGAATATCTGTTCAAGATTTGCTCTCTTATATATGGTTATATGCTTTAAAAATTTGTTTTCAAGGCTGGGGATAAAGTTATAATAAGAAGCATGGTTGATTCGAACAAAATTTATGTTGTTGGAGTGGTTAGAAATTTGGATCCAACAGCTGAAGTTGGCGACACAGCTTTGGGATCACATTGGTGTGAAATCCATGTGAATGTGTCTGTGGAGAATGATGAAGAGCTAATGAGGCCTTATCATAATTTTCGTAAGATTGGAGATGCAATTGGAGTAGCTATTGCTTGGCCAATAAACCTGGTAATCTTTTTATCTTATCTTTATCATTTGTTTAACTTAGTTTTTATTTATTTTCTAACATTAAAACTTTAAAGAAGAGTTGTAGATGTGATTTGTAACTCCTATTTCTTGGTTTATGACACTTGTAGGTGACTCTTGAAGAAAACTAAAGGATCCTTGGGTCAAATGGCTATTTTTTGAAGACATTATCAAGGCATTTTTTGTTGAGCTCTTGTTGAACTATTGCTTCTTTGATATGTATTGGCAATGCTACTGCAATACTCATAACTGTTGAAAAATTTCTGAATTAGCATGTAATTTGTTGACATAGCAGCCATGTAAGTTGCTTGGATGATGTACTTTTGCACCAGTTTGGCTGATTGTATTGCATTAACTACTATGAAAACGTAAATCACTTTGGTTTTCTTTTATAAGGCGATACATTGTGCAGGCAGAATGAAATGTGATTTCTACTTTTGGGTATAAAAATCCGGATGGTATACAGGGCTAATGTAATATGATGTATTGACACTTAAAAGTGTCACCACTTCAATTTTTGCGGTCCATAATATTCACAAAATTTCATGTTAACAAGTGTCAGAACAACCTAATCTAATTACACCATAAAAGTGTCATAATATTTCGTTCTACTTATACTGCAAATGTGTCATAATATCTTATTATACTTACATGATAGAAGCGTCAAGATAGATCCAATACATGACAGTTAAGAGTATCACTTTAGATTCATATAACCTTAAGTTTTCTCTAGCATTTCTTGTCATTTGAAAGTGTCATTAAAATGATAAATAATGACGTTTACAAATGCCAATAGAACTATAAATTATGACTCGAAAAACTGTCATAAAACTTATAGTGACGCTGAAATGGACGACGTTTCTAGCAGAGCGTCATTATAGATGAAACGTCATTACATCGAGCTATAATGACGCTTTTAAATGTCATAAAAGGACATTTTTGTAATAGTAGAGGAAGAGAAGCGCTAAAAGCAGTGAATCAGAGGAACATTGAACTGGAAATATTATTGGTCAGATAATTACAATAAGGATATTGCTATTTAGGAGACAAAAAAGAAACACATTTAACGTACCAGTATATGGCCATCTGCCACAACATGAAATGAAACAAGCTAGCAAGTCACAAATATAGGACTTCTTGCTAGCAAAGTTTCAAATGACAGAAGAACTTTTTTTGTTACAATAAGTAGGCTACTTTGCAGTTATACATAAATAGGTCAGATAATTACAATAAGGATATTGCTGTTTAGGAGACAAAAAAGAAACACACTTGTCGTACCAGTATATGGCCATCTGCCACAACATGAAATCAAACAAGCTAGCAAGTCACAAATATAGGACTTCTTGCTAGCAAAGTTTCAAAGGACGGAAGAACTTTTTTTGTTGCAATAAGTAGGCTACTTTGCAGTTATACATAAATAGATAAATTTTTTTTGAATTACGTTTAATAAGGCTAAAAAAACACTACACTATGACCTTCCCACAAAGGGGACAAGCACTACGCACGGCATCAGTTTGAAAAAGCACAAGTCAGGGTTCTTTTTTGATGAATAAAATCTTCAAGTCCGATTAAAGATAGAGATAACTGGATGCATTTTTCCCCATTTCAAGTCAGAGCTTATAGTGAAGCTAGAATGCAAAGATAAGGCAGTATCCCCATTTCAGTATCATTTGTGAACATTGTTGTACCTAATAAGAGCATATACTACCAAAGTTTTAGGACTCACTAAAATTTAGTACATAATCCCATATTCATCTCAAGAATCACTTCTCAAACCAGTAAAGAGGAAAGCATTGAAAGAGCAAGAAAATGGTTCACATCATTGACGAACATAAGCTACATAGCAGACCTTTCCAGTTAAAACCAGCTAAACTCACAACAGACCTAAAACACAAAAAATGGTTTAAAAGAGGAAAGCATGCAGGCTAGTTTCGCAAAACAGATGACGGATGCGATCGTTAAAAAAAAAGAAAGAAAAAGCTTACAACGAAGGAAAACAGCAACAGCCGGGATAGGATTCGGACCACTCAAACCCAGAGAGCGAGACAGCAGAGAGTCGATGCTCCTTGCACTGTAAACAGCATGTACCCAAGACGACCACATATTTTCGATCATCGAGAACCTAGAAAAAAAAAACCTTCTGCCTAAGCGGCAGAGCAACATTGCCAGTGGAAAAGAAAGAGAAGTTAGTGGGAAGAAAGCAAAAGCAACAGAACCAGAAAAATAGGGAAACAGGGGCACATGGGAAGCATATGAAACCTACATCAGATACCTCAACAGTATTCTATACCAGGGTTCAAAACCTCTGCCTAAGCGGCAGAGCAATATTGCCGCGCCAGACAAGAGGGAGTTTTCTGGGGAAAAAACTAACGAAGAATGAGGGAGCTTTCTGGGGAAAAAAATAAAAAATATAGCAAAGGAGAATAATCAGAAAAAACAAAGACATGTTATAAATCTGGGGAAACAAAGAAAAGCCCTAAACCAAAGTCCTAAAACCTGAGATGGAAATGATGCCGACCACACGTTCTCGAGGATTCCAGCACCAGCTTCTCAAATCTTCATCTTCTTCTTTTAATTCAATTTGCTTGTGGCGCTAAAACTAAGAGCAAGGAAGCTGCAAACTTACAACCCTAAGCCAACGAATGGAAGCCAGGAGGGAAAGCCAGAAAAACAGAAGGGAAGAAGTGGCGGTATAATCTTCTTGAAAAAAGGAAGGTAGGAGGAACGAAGCGGCCGAGAGATTCTTGTGTTTTATGTAGCTAACCCTAAGCCGAGAAAGAAAAAAGAACAATAAAAATGGACACACGAAGCGCATCGCGCGAAGAAGATGGGGTGATCCACGTACGCAACACGTGAAAGGACGACGAAAATTCTAACTGAATGGTGTTGGCACGTTATCTACTTATGTTGATAATAGCACTCTATCCTGGCTGGTATTTGCACCCTACAAGAATGAGAGATGTCATTACTTTTCCTTGCATCATTTTAACTTACATATACATACACATACGCACGCGTATATACACACAAATATATATGTATATATATGTATAATAAATTCACTTAGGAATAATTAAACATTTTAGTTTTTAAAAATAAAAGGAGAAAGTACTTCTAAAAATTTAAAATTTAATTGCACAGAGAACTATGGCATCATACTCACCTGCAACAAGTAGACACAGCTACCGGATTCATTATCACTAGTTATTTGCATCATTTCTTGGATATTTCCACCATCAAAGAGAATATCCCACTGTAATAAAGAAAATTTCAAAATGGAAAAGGGTACATGGGGAGACTTATGAACAACAAAAAGGTGAAAAGCAAATAGCTGTATTCTCCTATTTTAACATGGTGGCTTTTTCTTAAACTCATTGAGAGATCAAGCATTATGACTTCACAATCACATCACCAAATTTTCTATTGAATTGAATTGAATTAATTATATAACATGTAACCAATTGGATTAGAACAAAAATAAAAGCAATACATGGGATAATGAACTAGTTTAAGTGATCTAAAGTATACCCACCTAAAATTATGTGTAGGAGTACTTAATTTCAGTATTGATTAATAAGAAAGGATGCCAAAACTTTTCTAGTAAGTTGATAGAAAGCATTAAATTAAACTATAAAGATTAAAATTAAAATTAAGCAAATCTAAAAAGAAAAAAAATCAATACAATTAATACCTGAGTTCGAGTACTCGTGTCACGTAGGTAGTCGAATGCTGACTTTTCAGATATCCAAAGCCCTATGGAAGTTGTAGCACTTAAGGTAATTCTCGAAGACTTTCCGCGATCATTTCCACTCTTTTTTATCATAATCCTTATTTGATCATTCTCATTTTCAGTTAGATTCGAAACACGCATATGCAGTTGAGGAAGTTACACCGCCATAAAAATCAAGCATCATCTTTTCAGACAGCTTTAGGATATTCTTTCTTCCTTCTGGACTTATAACCACTGCACATATATATATATATATTTTTTGTTTGGCTAACCCCGTTCACGGGGAGGGACACCACCCTCGCTTTTATTCATAGGAAACTGACATACAAAAAAGAGACCATTTTGCAAAGATGCCTGCACTAGGGGTTCGAAATCTCCGAAAAGAACGCATCCCTATACTATCGAGTCCAATTTCTCTTCGGGTCAACCTCGGCCAGTCACTCCAATGCTCATAGAGTTTGACAGCATGGTGAGGGTGGGCTACCCCGACATTAGCCAAAATATCTGCCACCTTGTTTGTCTCTCTGAAACAGTGGGAAAGCCTAGCCGGATCACCAGCCAACTTCCATATTTGCTGGACCTCTCTGCAGATGTGCCAAGGACAGTGAAACCGTCGTTGAAGGATCCCAACCAAGATTAAAGAGTCTAACTAAATGCTAATATTTGCAAACCCCTTTTGAGCACATATCCAAAGTCCCGTAAGCAGAGCAAGGGTTAGAGCAAGGGTTTCAGCATGAAGACTAGACGTCACCCCAAAGAAAGCCGAGAAACCCACCAAGGGGCGCCTCGACGGATCCCATAACACCCCTCCACCACCACATGCCCCTGGATTACCCTTGGAGCAGCCATCCGTATTCAAGGTTAGCTCCCCCATTACTCCTGGCTTCCAACAAACAAGCTTGAATCCAAACCGCCACCCTGACTGAGACGACCAGTCACACAATTGTAAGAATGACTGAGCCCCAACATACTGCTTGAACTGCCCTTCTAGCAGCAGTCTAGAATAAGAAATTAACTATTATGCTGCACATTAAAATAAGAAACTATAATTAACTATTATGCTGAACTAATGTGATATTGCTATTTAAAACAATTCAATCACAAGTGTTCGTGATTTTAGTTACAAAATAGCTTTCATGTGCAATTTATAATTACCAGAATCATTATAAAGGGAGAAATTCATCTGCATTGCAGTTGCAAGATGTTCACATTGTCTAGTCAATGTTGAAATCCATCGAGGAGCTCCAAATGCAAAACCTGACTCAACAAAGGGCTTTCCTAAATACTGAACACTTTCAGCTTGCACTTGTACATGTTCAATCCATATAACCTAATAAAAACACACAAACTTGTTAGTTTACAAACTTATATGAGCATAATCATTTTGTTCTAAGTATTTTTAATCAAAAACATATATTTAGGAGAAATACTCTTTCATAGCAAGGTCATGTATTTTGAAGTCACCTTGTTAATATGGAGTGATGTTGATAAATTGCCTACTTAAACGACATCACTGAGTATCATAGAGTTTATATATAGTGATTGGTAAGCCACATGGTCCATGAGAAAGGCCACAGATCGACTATGGCTTACCTAAAAATTTACCATAAAGTACTTTGCTATATAGAGTAAAGAAATTTTATTGGCAGTTACCTTGGAGCAATTATTTGGTAGTCCTTGAATTATACAACCGGATGGTCTTCACTGGCACTTTCCTAATGGTCCTGGAGAGAAAGAATTGTTCAAAACAATCCCCCATGTACCTTCACCTAGTTGTTTACAGCATCTTAGAAATAAGTCTCCCGAGTTGGAATAGTTGGTGTGAGGGCTTGATATTCAGCTGTCATCTGTAATTCCAATTACATACAAGTCATTTATTGTTCATGAAATGAACTATTAAATAATATAGTTTTGGGATACAATGATTGATTAAGTGCTAACAAGATAGAGAACTCTAATACCATTAGCAAAGTTCCATTGCAGCTTCCAAACTCAGACCCTTCTGTTATCACCTCTACAACTAAAGCTCTTGAAACAATGTTAGCGATTACAGCTAACCATTTATCCTATAAATCAAAAAGGAAAACAAATAGTTTTTAAATAGTGTTTATATAATTCAAATCTGTCACATTATCAATTTAAGACCAAAAGAAGAAAATATTAATTGTAGTAAAAATACTTACCGTATCCATGAAAATCTTCGCTAGATTTGCATGATTCATCTTGACTATATCGTTTCCCTTGGATGCTTCAACATTAAATCCAGCTAGTTTTGGCCAAACTCCTCCGGGGAACATATCATAGTAAGCACCTTGATTCAGCAGATAGCTCTTATCATCAATGATTGGAATCCATAGAGGATATTCAATTTCAGCCATCCTGATAAGCTTCTCCGTAGCTGAATTCACAAGCATAGTAGCTGTTGTCTTATCAATGATGGTCTGTCCAGATAATGACCTAATTAATTCTTCCCCAACAACTGTCTCTTTAGTGAAATTTTGTTGCCATTCTCTGGATGCAATCATAGCCTCAAGATTAGCAGAGCTACTTGGACCAACTGAAGAGGAACCAACATTGTTATTGGCATATTTCTTGCCAGCGTATTTGGCCATTAGGTCTGTCAAACGGGCAACCTGGAAAAGAAAACAAAGTTCAAGTATTAGTAATAATTGATAAATGCTAAAAAAAAAGATGTAATGATGGATAAATGCTTAAGTTAAGAAATTTGACAAATTAGTTGAATTTTAGTACCTTTTCTTTAAGCCAAATATTCTCCACCCTCAACTGGTGTCGATCAAGAGAATCATTACTTGTAGCTTGAGACTTAGCACAAGTCAAACAACAAGCATTGGTAAGAGCTGCTTTAAACTTTATGTTCTCGTCACCAAGCTTTTCATTCTCAAGCTTGAGATGTGCATTTCTCGCACGTTTTGTGTGTGCCTACAAGAAACCTTAAAGTCATCAACGTTCACAACAAGCAAATATTCACTGACTATAGTGTGACGAAGGTTTTCGAGATTCCATAAAACAGTCGAAATTTATTATGGAAAGTATAAAATATAATTAGTTAATTACTTCATTTTGCATACGCTTATTTTGGAACCAGTACTTCACTTGCTTTGGATCCAATCCTAAGTCGCGGGCAAGTTGTACCCTTTGCGGTTTCTTCGGCTTAGGACATTGTTTGAAAAACCTAAAAATTCGAGAAAAAAGAATGGGTTTAGACACACAAAAAATGCTAAATTTTGTTGAATGTTTCTATACTTCAGGTCAAGAATTATGTAGCAATTGGTAAATTTAAGAATTTTCAAGAGCTTACTGTTCCATTTCATGAATTTGTTGAGGGGTGTGGCGATGGTAGCCTTTTCTATTATGGCCATCTTGGTTATCTTCGCCAGATTTGTGGGCATCTTCATCGTCTGGAATGCCATGATCAGATGCATATGACATCACATCAGCTGGGGGAATATTACTATTTCCAGGATTAGCCTGAAAAGAGTAGCAAAAGATGTTAAGATTAAAATCTTGATAGCCTGAAAACAGTAGCAAAAGATATTAAGATTAAAATCTTGATTCTTTTGATATAGAAATGAATCACATGATTGATTCTTACAATAATTAAAGGTGTTTGAAAAAGAAAATAAGAGTATGGTTTAAAAAATTAGAACTAAAACTAATTTCCAATACCTTATTTTGATTGACTACAAATTAGATTTATATGTCTTTGTTTGTTCAAAGTACATAGATGTTAAGTCTGATATATATGGAATGACTTAATAGATGTTTGTGAATTACTCACCAAATTCTGTACATTCTAAAATATCTTATGTTTCGTTGGCAATAGTCCCAAGCTGAATTGCAAGAATTTAGCACCACTTTTGTTCCTCAGTTATATTAATATCTTTTTCCAAGTTTCTTATTAATTTAAGAAATTATAAATTCCAAGTTTTCAAATGAATACTTTAGAGAAATGATATGATACTTATCAAAATTTTTGAATGATGTTGAAGAAGTAATGAAGGCTAAGACATCTAACAATTTTTTTTGGCCTTCTTATCTAGTACATATACCAAAAAACTAAAGATTGAAAGACAAAGCAATGACTTCCTTTTTCCCGTATGAAAACTCTATAAGATGTTTCTTTCTATAAACAGACAAGACATTAATTATGCTACTAACATTTAAAAGATGAAAAAAACTTTTTTTTTTAAAAAGGCTAAAGACATGAACCACTACTAAAAATGACGCAAAAATGATATTCAATGGAGTTTTTGATGAAATGAAACTGAAAAAAGTTTTCTAGAGTTGACCTGTCCAGCAAAAATCCCAGAAGAAGATGCTAATTGTCCCACATTCTCATTTCCTTCAATGACTAACGGATGTCATCCAATCATAATTGTTCTCGTCATTTCAAACTCACAAAAGCCTACAAAATCTTGTACAAATAGATAATTGTGTTAGGAATTGGTTAATTGTGATTATTAGTTTTCTTATCATGTTTTTTTACTTTTACAGTGCAACTCTTATCCATATATTTTTTTTCTTTTGTTTTAGTTTTTTTTAATCACAAATGATAAGAGAAATCTTACTTGGATGAGTTTATTAGATAAAAATAGCACATTCTCAATTTTTTGCTTTCTATGGAAAATAGGATGTGTTTTCTTAGAGTTCTAGTACCAACTCACCAGAAAAATAAGCCAAAGTCCAATGTTAGAGTTACTAAAGTTTTTTTTTTTTAAGTGTAAGTGGGAGGTCATGAATCAGAGACCTCTCATTTACACTCTCTTCTTTTCTACCATCCAATCCATCCATTTCCCCTAGAGTTAGAGTTAATAAAGTTCAATGTATAAACAAGTCACCAGGCAAGAAAAAAAAAATGGTTAAGTGCATATCAAAGCATATCAAAGATCTCCATCCCTATGAGTAAGGTAGTTTTCTCTTCACTATATTAAGGTATAAATGGATTTTGATATACAACCACAAAAATGTCTCTTTCAAGGAACTATCAAATCTAGAAGGATAGAGTGTCTCTAATCCCCTTTTTTGTCAGTGCTAAAAAAAATTGCTTAAGAATAGCTGCTTTTTGGACAAAAATTTCACAATTCTTTTATGCAAAGAGTGATGCTAGAGGGAGATTACAATACATAAGAATTTAAACAAAGAAAGAATTGTAGTATAGAGCACGGATCAGACCTGAAGGGAAGAAAAAAGCAAGGTGGAAGTTGAGCACGGATCAGACCTTAGCTGGCTAGCTGAAATTGTGAGCGTCTAGAGAGAGGGTGCCAAGGACAGTACATAAAGTGAAATTACTATAACCCAAACAAACTGAAGTAAAAAGACAAGTCAAATAGGTGAGTGTGTAGAACGGATGAATGGATAATAAATAAATTGAAATTACAACAATCCCAACAAACAAAAGGAAAGAGGAAAGTCAAGAAGGATACAGGATTTACGTGCCCAGAAGATAACTATGAAATATATGTAATGGACACGCCAAATCATCCAATGTTTGTACAAGCCAAGGACCATAAAGCTTATTAAGTCCTATTTGGTAAATAAGCTAATCTTAAATAGAAATTCTCTATGATATTATCTAGTAATTAATGGATAAGTGAATAAGTTAAACATCTTTTGTTTAGATTTGCAAACTTTTCTTGTTTCACCTCGACTACCTTTCCTTTCTTCACCTTATTTACCCTGCTTAATTTCTTTCTCCTTTTATATTTTAGCTCTTGCAGAGGCCCCATCCTGGATCGGGACACGTGGAAGCGCAGGTGTGACCGAGTTGGGCCTCGACGTCAGGCCCCTGGCAGCCGCCCAGGGCTGCGCCACCACTAGAGCTCCAAAAGGACCTGGGGGCCATCCCGCAGAGGTCGGGGGAAATCCCCCTGAGTGCGAGATATGGACTATTCTGGGCAGGTCCCGGAACGTACGGAGGTCGGACTCCTTCAGCAGGTATGAAAGGTAACTCACACCAAGGGGAGAAGGGTACGCTCACTATTGGCAAGAACGACTCTCGACTGTTTACTCCCGTGAACTTGACTCACCGGAAAACTAATTTGACCGTCGGAGTGCCCTCGGGGACAATCTCGGGGCCCCCCTTTGTTAGTTTACTCTTGTTTGTCTCGCAGGTTTGGAACCAGCTCGTCCATCAGCACGCCGAACTCATCCGATCAGCTCGGTCCGGGGAAGCTCAGCGCTTCTTCAGTTGGCGCCGTCTGTGGGAATCGAAGGTAATCTAGATTGTGGTGATGGCGAGAACACGGTCCAAGCGAACAATAGAGAACACCGACCCTGGAGCCGGCGAAGGATCCCAGCGAATGGGGGCCGAGGCAGCTCGGAGCGCCGGGGGCTCAGCTCTCTCAGGGGAGCGGAGGCAGCAGATCTTCCAATTCGTGACGGAGAACCTCCCCATGCTGGAAGACATAATTCGGCAGGCGAAGGAGAGAGAAGGGGCTGGAGGCGCGCAGACCTCCAAGGCGAAGAGGAAGGAGAAGAAATCACCCCCCGACCCCTCGGAGGATGAGTCGCGGGACCGGCCTCCCAGAAGAAAACGGCCGCGGACTCCCCCTCGTCCATGGGCCGGTGGTCGGAGACAACGAGAGATACTCCCGCGACCGGACCGCGGGGAGCAGCCCAAGAGACCCTTCCCCAAGAAAACCTACGCGGAACGGGTTCGAGCGTTCTCCCGCTCGATCTGTTTGAAGCCGGCCGCGTGACTCCCCTCAGTGGAAACCTGTCCGAGATGAACTCGAACAGATCCTGCGGCCGCAACTGTACGATGACAATTACATGACCTCGCCTTTTATCAAAAAATAGAGAACTACCCGCTACCCCGGAGGTTCAAGATCCCGACCATTGAGATGTATGATGCCTCGACCGACCCGGAGGACCATCTCTCGGTCTTCCTGACGCACATGCGCCTACAAACCGCGGCGGACGAGATCCGCTGCAAAACTTTCCCCATGTTCTTGAAGGGGAAAGCTCGGATTTGGTTCCAGGGCCTGGCTCCGGGGACCATCCGGAGTTTTCCCGAGCTGGCCAGGCAGTTTGTCGCTCAGTTCATCTCTTCCAAAACCTATGCAAAGAACGCGACCCACCTGATGGCAATTAGGCAGAGGTCCGATGAGTCACTAAGGAACTTCATGACCCGTTTCAACACGGAAAGCTTGCAGATCAGGGACAAGGACGAAAAAGTGGTCATGGCTGCCTTTGTGAACGGGCTCAGGGTGGAAGACCTCTTCTACAAGTTGGCCGAGCAGCCTCCCGCAAATCTGGAAGAGTTCTTAATCCGGGCGCAGGCGGCCGCCAATGTCGAGGAGGTGGCCCGCCTGAAAAAAAAATCAGATCGGGGGTTCGGAGATCGGAGGGGACAAGAAAACCCCCCCGAGAACAAGGATGGCCCGGCAAAGAAGAACGTGTTTGACCGGCTCATGAGGGAAAAGGCCCCTGCTCCGCCACCCCTCCCGGAGAAGGGCTACACCCCCCTGACACGGCCTAGAGTCCAAATCTTGGCTGTTATGGAGGCGGAAGGCATGGGAGATCGGCCACCCAAGATGGGGACGCCTCGGAACAAAAGAAACCAGGACCGGTACTGCGCCTTTCACCGCGACGTGGGACACGACACGGAAGGATGCTGGGCACTGCGGAAGGAGATCGAAAATCTGATCCAACACAGTTTCCTGGGACGGTTCGTGCAGCAAGGTCGCCCCGGCCAGGAGCACGGGCGCACCTATCGCGGAGATCGGGGTGAATGCCAGCGGCGCGACCGCCCCGAGCTGCGTGACGCGCCCGGGGGCCACTCCCCCGACCAGAACACCCAAAATCTAGTTTGAGTGATAAACACCATCGTCGGGGGTCCCACCGGGGGAGACAGCCACACAACTCGGAAGAACAGTCGACCTCCCTTCGAGGGGGATGACTCCCTGAAGCGTCTGCGCATGGATGAGGAGATCACATTCGGACCCAGGGACGCTGTACCCCTAGCGTCCGGGAACCACGAGGCCATCGTGATAGACATTATCACTAACAACTATCGGGTGAAGAAGGTGTACGTCGACCAAGGAAATGCAGTTGATATTATGTTCTATCGGGTGTTCAAGGAGCTCGGCTTGGAGGACAGGCAGCTGACCCCGGTTCGAACACCCCTGATGGGCTTTACCGGACCGCCTATCAACCCGGAAGGCATGATCACCTTGATGGTCACGGTAGGGCAGGCCCCCAAATGCCGGACCATCCCAGTTAATTTCGTGGTAGTCAAGCAGCCATCCCAGTACAATGTGTTCTTGGGTCGGCCTGCCTTGAACGCCCTCCGAGCTATACCCTCCACGCTCCACCTTAGCGTCAAATTTCCCACCCCGGGAGGGATAGCCGAGGTGCGCGGTGATCCTGAGGTAGCCAGAGTGTGTTACTTGGCCATGTTTCGGGGGCAGGAGAAGCTGGTCGCCCAAACGGCCTGCTTGGAGCCCTACATCCCAGGGGAGGAGGCTCGGCAGCTGGGCACCCAGGACGAGGTCTAGGAGTTCCCTCTGAGGGAAGATCGGCCTGACCAGGTAATCCGCATCAGCAAGCTGCTGCCCCCTGAGAAGAAGAAGGATTTGAAGGCCCTATTGAGGGAATACTCCCAGGTCTTCGCCTGGTCAGTTGAGGACATGCCCGAGATCCCGACCGACCTTGCAGTCCACCACCTCAAAGTGGATCCCCGCTTCAAGCCAGTGAAGCAGAAAAAGAGGAGTTTCGCCCCAGAAAAGAATGAGGTGATCAAGAAGGAGGTCGGGAAACTGCTGGAGTCCCAGATCATCCTAGAGGTCTACTACCCGACCTGGTTAGCCAATCCGGTGCTGGTAAAGAAGGAGGACCAGACCTGGAGGATATGCGTGGATTTCACGGATCTCAACAAAGTTTGCCCAAAGGACTGCTTTCCTCTACCGAGAATCGACAGGTTAGTAGATTCTACTGTGGGATTTGTTATTTTGTGCTTTCTGGATGCCTTTAAGGGGTACCACCAGATAGAGATGGCTGAGTAGGACCGGGAAATGACCTCCTTCATCACAGAGGAAGGAACCTACTGCTACCGGATTATGCCATTTGGCTTGAAGAACGCAGGAGCTACTTACCAGCACTTGGTCAACAAACTGTTCCAGAATCAGATCGGCAGAAGCATGGAGGTCTACGTGGATGATATGATCGTCAAGAGCCGAACTGATCAGCAGCTCGTCCCCGACCTGAAGAAAATCTTGGGCATCCTGTGGGAGAGCCGGATGCGGCTGAATCCGAAGAAATGTACTTTCGGGGTCAGGTCGGGAAGGTTCCTGGGATTCCTGGTGTCTCGGGACGGGATCCGGGCCAACCCGGATAAGCTCCAAATTATCATGGACATACCTCCCCCAAGGAGCGTGAAGGAGGTCCAGCGGCTCACAGGAAGGATGGCCGCCCTGAACAGATTCCTCTCGTGGTCCGCGGTTCTGGGGCTGCCCTTCTTCTGCATCCTAAAAGCGCCTAAAGACTTCCAATGGACCGAGAAGTGCCAGAAAGCCTTCGCCGACCTGAAGACATACTTAGCAGACCTACTCACTCTAACCGTCCCGGAGCAGGGGGAGACCCTGTTCCTATACCTGTCTGCTTGCAATGAAACCGTTAGCGCGGTCTTGGTGCGGGAGGACAGGGGGGTTCAGAGACCGATATATTATGTCAGCCGTGCTCTACAAGGACCGGAGACGCGGTACACGCCGGCTGAAAAACTGGTCCTGGCTTTGGTGCACGCTGCCCGAAAACTCTGACCTTATTTCCAGGCCCACAGTATCGTTGTCATGACCGACCAGCCCCTACGGCAGATACTCACCAAGCCCGAGGTTTCGGGCAGAATGACCAAATGGGCCGTCGAACTGGCCGAATATGACATCGGCTATCAGTCTCGCACAGCCATCAAGGCCCAAGCCTTGGCAGACTTCCTTGCTGAGGGGGCCAGCTTGACCCTAACCGAGCTAAACCCTCTGCGCGAGGATGGACGGCCGAAGGAGCCATGGGCACTGTTCGTAGACGGGGCCTCCAGCAAGGAAGGAAGCGGAGCAGGTCTGCTGCTCATCTCGCCAACTGGGGAAGAGCTGACCTATGCTCTCCGGTTTGACTTCCCCGCATCTAACAATGAGGCTGAGTATGAGACCCTATTGATGGGGTTGCAGATAGCCCACCAGATGGGTATAACCGCAATCAAAGTTCGGAGCGACTCTCAACTCGTCGTCCTCCAAGTTCGCGGGGAATACGAGACCAAGGAGGAGATCATGAAGAAATATCTGATCAAGGTGCAGGAGGCAATAGCCCTGTTTGATACCTTTGAAATCGAGCGGGTGCCAAGATCGCAAAACAAGCGTGCAGCGCCCTGTCAAAACTGGCATCCTCCTCGTTTGCGCACTTGAAGAAGAAAGTTTTGGTAGAGGTGATCAAGCAGAAAAGTATTGACTAGGTCCAGATCCTGGCTATAGACAGCTCGGCCACCTGGATGACTCCCCTAGTAAACTTCCTCAGTTCGGGTGCACTCCCTGAGAACAAAACCGAGACTCGCCGGATCTAGCTCGGAGCTGCCAAGTACGCCTACGCTGGGGGAACACTCTACAGGAGGTCATACTTATCTCCCTGGCTAAAGTGCGTGACTCCAGAAGAGAGCGACTATGTCCTCCGAGAAGTTCACGAGAGTCTATGCGCAGCACACGTGGGGTCTCGGGTACTGGCCAAAATGTGCCTCCTTCTAGGCAACTACTGGCCCACGATGTTCCAAGACGCCATGGCCCTGGTTCAGAGATGCCGAACCTGCCAGGTGCACGCCCCATTACGCCATCAGCCAGCTCGGGAAATGGTCCCCATCCACAACCCCTGGCCCTTCGCTCAGTGGGGGATAGATCTCCTGGGTCCTTTCACTAGCCCCGGGAAGGTATGAGCACCTCGTGGTAGCCATCGACTATTTCACGAAGTGGATGGAAGCAGAGCCTCTGACCACTATCTCTGGGAGAGCAATCCAAAAATTCTTCTGGAGGAGCATAGTCTGCCGCTTCGGGATTCCGCACGTTTTAATATCCGACAACGGGCGCCAGTTCGCAGAAAACACCTTCAAGAGCTGGTACGCCGAGCTCGGGATCAATCAGCACATCACATCGGTCGGCCATCCCCAGGCCAACGGCCAGGTGGGAAATGCAAACCGAACCATTCTCCAAGGACTGAAGACTAGGCTGGAATTGGCCCAGTTTAACTGGCTAGAAGAACTCCTTAATGTCCTCTGGGCTTACCGTACTACGCCCAGGACGGCCACCCAGGAGACCCTGTTCTCTCTGACTTACGGGGTAGAGGCGGTGGTACCTGCGGAGATCGGCCTCCCCTCGCCTCGGACACAAAACTTCGTTGCGTCATCCAACGAGGAAAAGCTGAGGTATAGCTTGGACATGCTGGAGGCTAAGCGTGAGGAAGCGGCGATACGGATGGCTAAAGTATAAAAGCCAGCTCGCTCGCTATCACAACGCAAAAGTAAGGAACGTGCAGTATCGGCGGGGAGACCTGGTCCTAAGGAAGAACTCGGTCAGCCGTGCTCATAGCTCCAACAAGCTCGATCCGAATTGGGAGGAACCTTACAAGGTCCTAGAGGCAAGCCGAGCCGGTTACTGCAAGCTTGCGAAACTAGATGGAACAGAGGTACCCCGCACTTGGTACTTCCCGAATCTGCGACTATTCGTAAGGTAGGTTAGATCAGGGTGTTTGACTGTCTGTTCTTCAAAATCTGAATTTCAATTGTATAACTCAATAAATGTTCGTCAACTTTAAATTCATTGTGATTGTTTGCCTTTTAAGTTCAACTCATACACTAGCACACTCAGCGCCCCCACGCTAAGTATCCTAGTGGAGGGCTGGGGGGTTGGACGCCTTTGTGAAGTTAGGTGATGCTCGACCCCAAGAGGTCGGCACGGGTAAAAACTTTCAAGTGGATACTCGACCCCAAGAGGTCGGCACGGCCGAGAACTTGGAAGTCGGAATGTTCAAACGCTCGACCCAGGAGGTCGGCGGACGCTTTTAAGTGATGAGTTGGACGCCTTTGCGGAGGGCGATGCTCGACCCCAAGAGGTCGGTACGCCTTAAGACTTCCAAGCGGATGCTCGACCCCAAGAGGTCGGCACGGCCGAGAACTTGGAAGTCGGAAGGTTCAAACGCTCGACCCAGGAGGTCGACGGACGCCTTTAAGTGATGAGTTGGACGCCTTTGCGGAGGGCGATGCTCGACCCCGAGAGGTCGGTACGCCTTAAGACTTCCAAGCGGATGCTCAACCCCAAGAGCTCGGCATGGCCGGGAACTTGGAAGTCTGAAAGTTCGACGCTCGACCCAATAGGTCGGCGTGGATACCTCTAACGTGAAGTGCCCGACCCCAGGAGGTCGGCAAGGGTTAAAACTTTGAAGTGGTGCTCAACCCGGGAGATCGGCACAGGGTCTCAACAATCTGGTTGTCTCTAATGATTTAGTTGTTAGATTAACGGGGGTATGCATTTGGTGCTCGACCCAGGAGGTCGGCGCCTGGCTTTGGTTGTTGCAGTGGGGTGCAGGAAAAAGTTGCAAGGAAATTTCCTTTGAATTTTGTATATGCATTTAAAGCCTATCTATTACAAAGTTTCCAACCTATCTATTACAAAACCTACCGAGCTACAAAAGAAAGACATCCTTGTGCTAGTGACCCGCTTGGAGCAGGAGCTGAAGGTACACCTTAAGCATGCTGAGAGGCGTATGGTGAAGGCTGTTCAGGAGAGCAGCTATGGAGGCCTTGAACCCAGAAGTAGGGGAACCTTCCCATCTCAAATGGACCTTCAAGAGCATTTTCAATTGGGGCATGGTCACATCCTTATAAGAAAATGGAAAGGGTTTCTGGAGTGGTCGCCGCCCTAGGCTATCGGCTCCTTCCCGGGAGCCCTGCCGGAAGCCTCCCCTTCCTCCAGCGAGACCTCCACCAGAGCGGCTCCCACATCCTTCCTGCCCGCCAGCTCCTCCAGGGCATGCCCCTTGCAGTACCCGTCGAAGAGCCAGTCTACCTTCTCCTCGACATTAGGGTTGTACTCCTTGAAAGCAGCCAAATCGAAGCCAGGCAGGCCGAGCTCCTTGACCCTATCTAGGGCTCGCGTGAAGCCGACCTGGAGGATGGGCCCGTTGAGAAGGGCGATGTCTTTGGCGAACTGTTCGGAGGAGATGAACTCCTGAATAGCCTTCTTCCGCTTCCGGCTAACGGTGCCGGAGAGCTCAATGGCAAGGTTCTCCCTCAGTTTGGCCACGCCAGCCTTCTCCTGGTCGAGCTCCGACCTAGTGGAGGCGAGTTGGACCTGAGCTGTTTCCAGCTCTTTCTCGGCCTTGCCCAGTTTGGCCTTAAGGGAGTCCGCCTCCTTAAGGACCTGGGCAAGCCTCTGCTCCGTCTCTCGATTCTGCTTGCGCATTTTCTCCAAATCGGGAGACAGTTCGGAGAAGCGAATCGCCAGGGCAGCCCCAGCGGCGTTGGCCCGAGGAGGGTAGAAAGCAAGTTAGCACGTCACGCCACCCGAGCAGAACACAGAGGCGCGACTGGCCCAAAGGTTAGAAAACTTACTTGAACCTGAGCGGTGTAATACGCGTCCAGGAGATCGGGGGGGTTGGCCAGTTCCATCCACCTCTTGTCGCGTGGGAGGACCGCGCCCGTGATCAGCTCACGAGCCAACTCGGAAAACTGGGCTCGATCGTTGATGGAAAGCCCCCAGGACGGACAGAAACTGCGAGGGTCGTGCATGGTGGGGGTTTGGCCCGGCTTCAGGGGGGCTATATGGCGAAAGTGCCACAAACTCGGGGGAGACGACTCCTGAGCATGCTCTTCAGCGGAGCCAACGCCCAGGTGGACTGGCTCCCCTGATGTCAGTGTGAGGGAAGGGGCTGAGCAGGGACCAGCGCGAGCTTCTTCCCGGGTTGGGAGGGCTCATCCGTTCGGCCTCTCTTCTGCCCGGCCGCCTTCTTCTTGTTGTTGGCGGCCTTCTTGGAGGGGGAGGAGGTGTCCAGTGCTTCCTTCTGGGGAGCTGGGCCGCCCCCCGGGGTCGAGGCCGCCCCAGGGGCCTCCTTGGCAGCCTCTGGCTGAGGAGTGGGGGTAGCCTCCTCAGTGGGTGCGCCTAGCAGTTTGGAAAGCCTCCTCACTGTAAAAAACATCGTTGGATCAGCCAAAACAGGACGGTAAGAAAATATACATGTATGCAAATGCAATGAACTACAGGGTCAGGGTCAGCGTTACAGGTGTCGAGGTCGATAGGGGAGGCCACCACCTCGCCAGGGGACCCGGACAACGTCCCCATCAGCCCGGCCGCAGAGATCTGCTTGCTGGAGAACTTGGTGGCAAAGAGTTTCATCTTAGAACTCAACAGCTGGATGAGGGTTTCAGAGTCCAGGTCCTCTGGGTAAGGGTCAGTCTTGACCTCCCCGACCTTTCACACGGTGGCGTCAAAATCGGTGGATTTGACAAAGAAGAAGCCCCCTTTCCAGTTCTTGACGGAAGAGGGGAATTTATAGAACAAGTCCTGGCAGCCCTTGTCCCCCCGACCTGGGTTCCCGGTCCGGCGGGAGAAGTAGTACCACCCAATAAGGGCTGCCTTGAGGATGAAAGCAGCTCGGAAGAGGGAAAGAGAGTAAGGAATGGAGCAGAGTTTGCATTAGATCAGAAATCCTATGATGATCCTGATCGAGTTGGGGTGGATTTGGGTGATCCTGAGCCCCCAATAGCTCAGGATCTCGGCCAGGGCCGAAGGGATCGGTAGGCGGAGCCCCCCGATCAGCTGTTCCTTGTAGACGGCTACAAAACCGAGGGGAGGTCGGCTGGCTCGGTCGTCGGGTCCGGCAGCCCTTGGCTCGAATGTCGGGGGGATAGAGTAGGACTTGACCAGCTCGGCCACCGCCTTGGGCGAGATGGTGACCTCCTGGTGGTCGGGGTAGCCGTAGCTAAATTCGGGATCATCCCCCTCCTTAGGGTCAGGGGTCCCCTCGGAGGAGTACTTATCCTTTCCAGCTCCTCCCTGGGCCCCGCCAGGGGAGTCATGGGGAGACCTGGGGGAAGGGGTGGAGCCGGCCCGTCGCTCGAGGTAGGCATCGAGCACGGCCACCTCCTCCAACTCCCGGGTTGAAGGGGAATGGGCAGAAGGAGAACGGTCGGAAGAAGAACTCATAATGTCTATGGGGTCAAGCAGGTCAGGGTTAGAAGCAGAGGAGGAAGAAGGAGGAGGAGGGGAAGGTGAAGGCGAAGATGAGGACGAGGATGAAAAAGAAATGAAAATTCTGGTGACTCTACGACGGGCCGGACTTTGGGACGCGGTGGAAATAACATCGGAATGACCCGACATAAAAAGCAGGAGGTGGCAGAAGGGGGAAGAGACACTGTGAAGGGAGGGAAAAAGGAAAAGGAATCACAAAGGGACTTACTGATGATCAAGGCAAGGGGAGGAAGGAAGAATCGCCGGAATCTGGGCACGGGAGGCCGGAAGTTGCTGGAAAATGCAAATGCAAAAGGGAAGAGAAAGTGGCAAATGGAGCGGATGGAAATCTGGTGACCCCTATTTATAGGGGAAAAATGGAGGGAAAACGGTTGCTTGAAATCGAACCGTCCCATGTGAACGCATTAATGATGGTACGGGGACCGAAGAGATGCGACAACTGAAAGGACGTGGGCGCGGCTTTTCTGCAAACCGCACTGTACCGGAAGGGCAGAGCAGTGCGCGGCGCTGGCCTCTCACGTGGCAGGGGTAGATTAGGTCTATCTGACAGCCCTACCTAATCTAGGGGGCTAGTGCAGAGGCCCCATCCTGGGCCGGGACACGTGGAAGCCCAGGTGTGACCAAGCTGGGCCTCGACCTCAGGCCCCTGGCAGCTGCCTAGGGCCGCGCCACCACTAGGGCTCCAGAAGGACCTGGGGGCCATCCCGCAGAGGTCGAGGGAAATCCCCCTGAGTGCGGGATATGGACTATTCTGGGCAGGTCCCGGAACGTACGGAGGTCGGACTCGCTCAGCAGGTATGAAAGGTACCTCACACCAAGGGGAGAAGGGTACGCTCACTATTGGCAAGAACGACTCTCAACTGTTTACTCCCGTGAACTTGACTCACCGGAAAACTAATTTGACCGTCGGAGTGCCCTCGGGGACAACCTCGGGACCCCCCTTTGTTAGTTTACTCTTGTTTGTCTCGCAGGTTTGGAACCAGCTCGTCCATCAGCACGCCGAGCTCATCCGATCAGCTCGGTCCGGGGAACCTCAGCGCTTCTTCAGCTCTGAACAATTATACATTTATGTTGACCCCTAGTTACCAAGTCACATTATGCAAGAGAAATCACAAAGAAAGATGAGGTTAATATTCTATTTAATGATTTTTTTAAGATCACTTATTATTTGTCTACCATTGATTTTTGATTGGCAAAGACAATGAACGATGGCATTTACATACGTTGATATATCATTTTCGAGTCTCTAATTTACATTAGCATTCCAGTTTATAACTAATTCTATTATACGTTGCCATATCATTTTCGAGTCTCTAATACTAAAAGTTGAAAAAGAAAAGGTTGTAAGATTGTTTAATGCAGAAGCTGGTAATTCCAATAGGTCACTGATAATGATAAAGCTAAAATTTCGAGTAGAAAATTTTAAATGTTTTTTCGGACAGTTATTTAATTTTTTTGACACTTTTTTCTTTTCCTATGAAATTGCCCCAATTTGAAGAAAAGTGGACCACGAGCAAGAACGGTTGCCGGTTGCTGCAACCGTTCCTAGCGATTTTGTGCATTTTACACATCACGTAACTTTGTTTACACACGACGTAACTTTGTTTACACAACGTGTAACTTTAGAACAAATTTTTGTGGGCCCTATAAACATTATTAAAAACGAGGTACAAGAGATTACTTGGACCGTATAATTTTTTTGGACCAAATCGTGACCATGAACAACTCAAGAGCAGTCCATCTGATGACTGCTCCTGCCCCTCATCCAAGAAAAGTTAGCAGAAAGCAAAACTGGATGTGCACTATCAAAATGCCATAAAGCTGCAATGAAACATCTAAGGAAACCAAAAAAAAAAAAAAAAAGGTTTAAAAAGTGGTGCTAAAGAGAAAAACAACAATTGCCAGTCGGCATTCATGCCAAAGAACAGAAACTTCACTCTTAAATTTTTCTTTCCAATTCTCACTACTGTTGGACATCTCCTCTTTGAGTTAACATAAAAAAACAAACGTTTACATAGAGGACGACAAAATCAGTCAACTCTCTCATATTGGTATATATATATATCCAACTATCACATAAAAATTACGTATAAGGATGAGAAAAAATTACAAGAAAATCACTTTAGATAAATGCATGCAAACAATGTGTTGGCAAAATGAAAAAGATTCATAAGACGTTGAATACCACTAACCAAAATGAGAAAAACAGTAAGCAAAAACTTATTTGAGAAAATTAAATGCTTCAACCATAGTTATTTCACTTATCAAGGACACCACTAGTCAATCGGGTAGACATTACTCGTGCATTAGTCAAAATACTGTATAAGAGAAGGATCCTTTTGAATATTTCTGTTTTTGTATTCTGTACTTTCAAAGTGCCTAGATAATACCACTCAAATCTAATTGAAGAATTTAACAGTTACAAATTTACTGCTTGAATAAGAACTCAAAACTATTTTGGGACCAACTTATTTTTAGCATCAGTAGTTGCTTGGCTAATATCCCTGTTAGTTGAACTAGGTCATCCACTTTATATATGTCTCAATTGGTCCACCTAGTTAGAAATTTTCTAGGGACAAAAATGACGGATTACTTGCAAAGTAGGCTTGGAAAGTTTGTAGTTAAAGATACAGTTATAGCTTTGCATCAACCGAGGGTAGAGGTAAGCTGGCATAG